TTGATTGGTGTGCGCAGCTCTGCGCTCAGGTCGCTGTTACCCAGCTCTTCCTTTACAAGACACGCAGACACCTCGCTTGGGGTGCTCGTGCTGCTGTGGGGCCAAGCAATCCCTACCAGTACCGTGTCAGGGTTTCATCGTGCCTCGCGCACCGGAGAAGTACATTTTCACTGTGGGCAGCAGCAGCCCTTAACACGCTGAGAAACATAGCGGTTTGTCCTCAGCAGTCTTTTCTTTCCCTGTCTGCTGGGATTTATGTGTCGCTTTTCAAAAAGGTTTCTCTTCGGTCCCAACTGCGCCTGTTGTACCTGCCTGCCAGCCCTTGCGGCGCAGCCGGCTCTGGAGCAGAGCTCCGCAGTCGTGTAGTGGTGCAGGCGGGAGCAGCGGTGCGTTGGTGGGAGAAGCACAGCATATCCGACACAATTACAGCAATAGCAGAGTGGAGACATTTAAATGTGTTGGAGATGCTGAGGTTATCACCCTTATTTTAGTAAAAGCAGCCCACTGATCTTAAACAACAAGGGTCACAGGCTCGGCGAAAACGAGGATCTCCCGCTGCATCGCCAGCACTGACTCCTCCAGTTCCTCTCGGTTTCGTTCCTTCCAGTCCTGGTAACCCACCGAGTCCTGAAGCCTGGGACAAGCGTGAGGCTGAGCCAGAGAGAAGGGCAGGTTCCCTTTCATCCCGTTACTTGTCTGGAAAAAGGTCTCTCTTGTTCCGTGCACTAAACACATGCACAACAGGCTTTAATTCAACGAGCTCTCTGAATTGCCTGTTTCAATCAGATGATCCTGCTAGTAATGCCAACGCTTATTTGTTTGGGGATTTTTACTTAGAATGTTCCTATTTAATTAATATGTTGACAAACAGTCTTCCATATTTAATTGCTTCCAAAGGAGGAAATTTAATCATGTGTACTTGTTCTGTTTCTTAAACTGCAGTGCTCTGGCAGAGCACACTTCTGCCACATGTGCGTAGAATAAACTCATTTTGACTAGAGGTTACTGTGGATATCTACCATTTAAAATAAAAAGAGGGGGTTAGGTGAATGCAGGAACAGTTAAGTGATGTATAATGGGGATGGGGATGTGCTGAACTAATTTAATTGGGGATCCGAAGTAATGGACTCGCACAGTATTTAGCATTAAAGACTTTGCAAGTGTAACAGCGAAGCTCCAATTAAATGTCCCTTTTCCCTCTAAATAAACGTACTGATTTATTGCCAGTGCCCGAGATACTGTCCTCTGCGTGGAAGAAAGGACTCAGTGTCAGGCGGCGGTGCAGGCAGCGAGGACATGTGGAAGGAATTGTAGCTGTGAATATGTAATTCCTGGCCTCTGAACGCTATCTGAGCGTTCCTAGCCTGGAGCGCCCTGAATGGGCCCATTTTCTGTTCTAGACAGTGTGTGTGTTGGCAGAGCGAAACATATCCTCTGCGCTGCCCGAGCGAGGATGCTGGGGAAGTCAGCTGAGAGCAGAAAGAAACGGTTGAAAATTTGCTCCCAAGAGGCACGCCGTGAGCGTTCCGGAGGGTCCCGTTCTGATTTTATGAGCAGCACCGTGGTCCGCTCTCGGAGCCGAACAAGTCAGGCAGCCTTAGACAAGGTGGTCTGACCCGGGGCGTCCAGTTCAAGGTCTTTGCAGACATTATCACAGCCTGAGAACGATTTTTACTGCAATATTAGAGATTTGGGGCAACGTACCGCATTTTGCTGAGGCAGAAGAGTTGCCGTAAGGAAAGCAACTGCAATGCAAAGGGAAGCGTCATTAGGAAATGGTTCTGATCCATTATTCGGCACGAGAGCTTGAAATACAATCGTCATTAGAGAATGCTTTCCCAGCGAGACTGGAGCGCTTCCAGGATGGTGCTGGGGCTCCACGGATTTCATTAGGGGTCCGGTCTGTCCGAGGCCGTGGTGTTGTCCTTCCAGCGCCGGGAAAGGCACCGGCCAATAGTGGGAGGCAGATTGAGCTAATAAATGTTGTGACTTTTCCACAGCAGGGCATGGTTCATCAGCTTAGGGAAAAAAACAAACCAGGCCGAGATGTTGGCTCTTTCTCCTGGACAAATCAACGATAGCACTTGAAGGTCTGAGGGGGGTCGGCAGCCTCCTCACCCCCAGCGTCCTTGAACTGTTTCCCAGTTTCGAAGCGCTGCCTTCCCCGGGTGTGTGCCGGGGTAACGTCAGCCGCACGGCGCTTCTCTCCCAGGCTGCTGCTGCGGTGGGAGAGGCGACGGTAGCTCCTCCTGACCGCAGAGCTGGTCTTTCCCGAGAAGGAGCTGCGCGTGCACCGGGCTCCAGGCACAGACAGGAGCTCGTAGCCGGAATGCCCGTGGGGCTGGCCCTGCCCTTTTGGTGTGCTGTGCCGAACAGCTCCGTGTCCTGGGTGTCCTGCAGCTCCGGGGACGCCGGCTGCACGTGACGACAATAAGGACGATGCTGCCTTCGGCCCGAGCGCTCCGCTGTGCTAACGCAGCGCTTGCAGGGTGAGCAGTGCGGTGAGCGCGAGGAGCTGAAGGGCTGAGCACAGCCGGTCCTCGGGGTGCAGAGTGTCCTCGGTGCTGCCAAACGGACTGTAGCGCACCACTAACTTGGGCCTTTTTGTTTGCTGTACCCTTAGATCCTCACGGTTTGGTCGGTTTTTTTAATGCACTAACTTTGGTGTTTATTTCTGCATTTCCAGAGGAAGCCATGAAGTATCACAGCGGGCCTCCAAAGAACGCGTACATGGAGCAGAGCTTCCAGGGCTTGAACCCCGTCCTGAATATCCCCATCAGTGCCGCCCGTGTGGACCAGGCCAAGAGGAACGCGGGGCTCGTGGGCGCCCGGCTGGAAGCCTGGGTGGACTCTCTGGTCAGCAGCATCTGGTCAGCCGTGGACATCTGCAGCACCGGCCCCACGGCCTGCCCCGTCATGCAGGGCTGCGCCCAGACAGCCTGGAGCTCCCTCAGCCCGGACCCCAAATCTGAGCTGGGCCCCGTCAAACCCGACGGTCGCTTGAGGTAGCACCCGGTACGCTCTCCTCCAGCATAGGTTTTTTAAAAGGGAATTTAACCTTGCTCGTATGTGAATCTCGCACCAGATTTCAGAAACCTAAGGGAACATTTTACTTTTTTGTTACTTATTGCAATATAATTCATTTAAAAAAAAAAAAAAAAGAAAAAAAAAAAAAAAAAAAACAAAAAGTTTT